CCAAAAGAGAAAAATATCCAGCGAGACCAGAGTCATTGTACTCTGACTGGACAGACTCATAGAGGTGAATTCTTCAAACACTAATTTCTCTTTTTAGAAGATGAGTAAATATAATATAGTGGCTTTATCACTTCACCCTGAATTAACTGAATTTAAAGCTAGCAGGGCAATTCAGTGAAAATAATTTTTCTAAATTGAATTTCGTTACGTAATTTATTTTTTAATCCAGCCGTTATTTTACTTGAAATGAGAAGAACATTTATTTATGTATTTCTGTGTATAAATGGGGGCAAATTTCTGTCCTTCGCCATGAATGTAACTTGACTCGACATGTTACATTCATCAAATATGTGAGATTTCGAAAAGTCCAAATCTCACATTTTGCCATTTCTCCTCGATTCTTCCCGCTTTGAGTCTCTCAGAATTAATTGATTGTCAGAGCTACCTGCGCAAACAGTCGGTTTTGAGACCTGCATTTTACTTTAACCGTCTGTTGTGTTACAAACACTAAAGCGCATTCACACGTTCAGTTTTTTGTCGATCTTGACAGGCGTACATTTATGATTGTATTCAAAGCTATACTCAAATCATTTGAGGCTGAAGCCCTGGCAAAATGACCTGGCTACACCACTGGTCCACGCAGGAAATATTGTCTAACTCGTGCATGCAGTGTCTGATGATCAGGGAAATGCATGGCCTCGTCAACCAGAGTCCTGCCAGTACCCTCAACGTGTGCAAAGGTGCAAGGGCCCAATCAATTAGGGCCCAATCAATGCTGCTTGCAGCTTTACTTTTTCTTAATTATACTTCTTTTATTAAATTGATATCAGCATTCATTGAGTATGAGACTAAACTGGCTTCAGGTGGTTGAGGGTGTCTAATACAGCCAACGAAAGGGCTGCATACCCTTACAGCAGACATGTCAAACTCAAGGCCCGCGGGCCAAATCCGGCCATCGGTACAATTATATCCGGCCCGTGAGAAAATATCGTATGTCTATCATAACTGGCCCACCACGCCACAGAGCTCCGGGACGAAACGTGACGATGTGAGCTGGCCTTTTTGTCCGGCATAACGAAGCATCTCACTGAGCTTAACCTCCAGCTTCAGGGATGTGTGATCACAGACATGTATGATGCAGTGAAAGCTTTCCAAGCCAAGCTGCGCCTGTGGGAAACTTGGGTCACTTTCAGTGCCAAACACTGACAAACCGTGTCTCCACCGCTGTGTTCCCGAATGCACATTTTGCTGATAATGCTGTTAAACAGTAGCAAAACCGAAGCCCTTCTTGTTGGCACTCCACACCAGGTTCAGTCATCCTCCATAACTCATCTCACCTTCGACGGTCAGGTCATCCCCCTCTCCTCCACAGTCACTCATCTGGGAGTTAGGTTCGACCCATACCTGACCTTTATCCACGCCTTTATCTCCTCAAGACTGGACTACTGTAACTCACTATTCACTGGGATCACTGCCAAGAACATCCAGAAGCTGCAATACATTCAAAACAGCGCTGCCAGGATCCTGATGAGAGTCCGGAAGTATGAGCACATAACACCCATTCTGCACTCACTACACTGGCTCCCTGTCTCATTCCGGATTGACTACAAAGTGGGAATCAGTGGGAATCACCAGAGGTCCCGCGATACGATATTATCACGATACTTAGGTCACGATACGATATTATCACGATACTGCGATATTATCACGATACTGCGATATTCTGAGTATTGCGATACCTATAGGCTACGTAGAACTTACAGAACGTGCAGGAAGGTGAATGGATGTTGAAAGTTTGAGAAGACTCTTCGATGAAATAGTTTTTTATTTTATTATTTAGGCCTATATTGCGATTTATTACTTTTTTCAACTTCAAATTATGTCCCCAAAGGAAAACTATCAACATGTTTTATTTAATAAGATAAAGTTTTCAGTCTGTTCATCTCACTTCAATCATTTTTATTGCAGCAAAATAGGATTGTCAAGCAGACAAACTGACCAACAATGTCAATAAATGTTGCATGAACCTGACAAACTGAACTGTTTGTATTACTACATAGTCCAACTTAACTAAATGCAAACGTGTGGACTCAGTATATGAACTATAACTTAAATAAGTAGGATATAAGAGTTATATAACTCAGTATAACTTGAGATGCGTGGACGTCAAGGGCAGAGAGACAGTTATGCGCTGCACTCTCCCCATGAGCCTGGCTACTGTTGGCAGATTTAACCCCGTTGTGAGGCCAGATGTCTCTATCTTTGTTTTGACCAACTTCCTACCAATCACGCTGACCCGGGACCTTTGCCGACCTCACCAGAAAATAACTCAGCACCATCTAGTGGACTGAAAAAGTAATTGATTTGAATTTTTTTTTCTAGTTTATACAATAAAAGATCGATACTTGGCGTCCGTGTATCGATACAATATCGCCACGCAAAATATCGCGATACTATGCTGTATCGATTTTTTCTCCCACCCCTACTACTCACACATAAATGCATAAATGGACATGCACCTCCCTACCTACAAGACCTCATCACACCCCAAATCTCCACCCGCACCCTCAGATCTTCAAACAGCTCGCTTCTCCGGGTCCCCAACACCAAGCTCCGTACCATGCCTTTGGCTCGGCAGCTCCACGCCTATGGAACAGTCTCCCTGACCACCTATGGGCAACACAGACACTGGTGTCTTTTAAAACTGGCCCACAAACCTTTCTATTCAGGAAGGCGTTTCTGACATAAATCACTGTCAGTTATTTCTTTTGTGTTTCTGTTCATTCACTGTTTTTTTTTATGCTTACTAGTTATTTTATTATAGTTTGTTTTAACTATGTTTTTTACTATGCTTTTACTATGTACTGGCTCTGTGGCACTCTGAGATTTTTTTTAAATGAAAAGTGCGTTACAAATAAAATGCATTATTATTATTATTCATGATTATAAACTGGGCGCACTTGGCACATTGTTCACTCTGCGATTTGCTGACTTTGCAGCTCAGAAATTTAAATTTGAACTGCTCAGCAATCCGTTTGCAGTTAATGTGGAAAGAGCACCAAATCCAATTTGAGCTGATAGACGATGCCTCAACTCCGCCTACATGCTGCTCAAATGCTCTGCATGTTTGGAAGCACATACCTGTGTGAGCAGCTTTTCTCTGTGTTGAAGATGAATAAAAACCCACACAGGAGTCGTCTCACTGATGCACACCTTCACTCCATCTTGAGGGTTTCCACAGCACAGAACCTAACCCCAAACAATAATGAACCGACAGCCAAAATAAATGCCAAACATTGTGGCTCTTATGCATAAAATAATGTAGCTTATTTCTTTTTGCACTTTCTCCAATATCCATTCTATCCTGTTTATTAAATGTTGACTCTATTTGGCCCTCAACATAGTCACAATTTTAAATGTTGGCCCTCTCTGTGATTGAGTTTGACACCCCTGCCTTACAGGCTCCACAAACAGCTGCCCGAAAGAGACTGCACGTCCGAGATTGTGATGAAGTTAGTTTTAGATTGGATATTCGACAGACAGTCACTCCGGACCGAGTGGCGTCAGTTTCACTCCATGTAGGCAGTATTAGGGCATGCAGTTACCTCACCTCCCAGCCCCCCGGTTTAGCTGCCGGGAGCTGGGAGCTGGTTCATCAATACATTACTGTTGAAATAAAACAGAGTCAATGTTTTTTCAATACCTCATGCTAACTTGCCGATATATGTGAATGTTATGATTGACCATTTTAAATTAAACTGAATTAGTCCTGAAGCACAATTATTTTGATCAGGTCTACTAATATGTAGTTCATTTATTTTAAATAAATATTTTAATGGAAAACAATGCAATTTTTTTCAAGAACTACAGTCACAAACGCTATGGACACCCACCTCTTCAAAAGGGATTTCAGTGCTTCTATTCATTTGAATAAATACTTTAATGGAAAATGTCAACGTATTTAATGTTTCATATAAAATATCATCAGTATAGAACTACACAGGCTGTGTGCTAACAAGAAGTTTTAGACCATTTCACATCTTAAATACACGACAGAAAGCGAGTGGGGCTATACAGTTGGGATGAGGAGGAAGCGAGTAAAATAATGCTATGTGCAAACAAGAAGAGTCTCTAAACATTGTTGTTTGGCATACAGCAACATACAAACAGTGTATACTATGTAATATCCCAGTGAGCATTTTTACGTTGAGACATTTAGAAAACAACGATGTTCACTGGTGAAAAGAAGTTCAAAACTGGTTCAAAAGTAAATATTTTTTTCTAATACCATATATATTATATGTGCCTATATTTTATTTACAGATGTCCACCTTAACTATGGCAGACCATCTGAAACCAACTTCTGGTTGGCTTTGACAACAACATTTAAAGAAGGAATGAGAGATGTTATTGTTTTTACTGTCAACAATCATGTACTTTCTATTTGATTGTAGTTAGAACATTGATAATGTTATATTTCAATTATTGTTGCCTGTGTCACATGGTTTTCTTTGTCCTTTAAGTGGACACTGTTGCCGGGTTAGTATATGTAAATTGCTACAATTTTAACAGTGAGCATTTTTAAGTTTAAAAGGCATTTAATAGTTATGGTGAAAAGATATTTCACCGGGATTTGCAATAGCTTTTACCTGAGATATGTGGATGTGATTCCTTAGGCTCTAACGAAATGCTGTTATTGGCATATTGTAGTGGATGAAAAAATGCACTAATTCAAATATAAGTGAACTATGGGCTAAATGTGAACATTTTATCAATGTCTTAAAATAACAATAATAATCTGTTTTTCTATCTATTTTTTACAATTTTTACTGGTGACAATAGTCGTTTTTTAAAACGTCGTTTCAATGTAAAAATGCTCTTTGGCCGCTGGGTCCATATAAAGTCTATGGTCCGGGGTGAATGCCCGTCGAATATCCAAATGAAAACTAACTTCACTACGATACTTGGGAGCTCAGGCTAAAGGAGGGGAATGGGTCCGAATCAGACAGCGGTTAAATCAGCAGCTGAAACCTCCAGCCTCTACTGCTCCGTTGTGGGTCTCCAGAGAATAAGAATAGTGGATTAACATTGCAGCAGATTTATTTTGTCTCCCTGAAGAGACCAAACAGGAAGTTAGGATCTGAACCAAAGCTGCAGGCTCTTTTTAGTCATGTTCCTAGCGTACTCTCTGCCCATGAAAGCGAAGCGCAGGCGGAATAAGGAGCGTCTGGAGGCCAGCTTCGCCGGCTTGTGTGAGCTGGAACTGCTCAAACAGAGGCAAGAATGCCGGGTGCTGAGCGCTCTGTGCCTCGGGGATTCTCCGGTTGCCGGCCGTCCACCTTGGGGAGCTCTACGTTGCGCCCTGGACGCACCAAACGCCAACGCCTCGGATGACTATAGCCGCAGGCTCCAAACTGTAAGTTATGTTTGTCTGATAATGGTTCTTTTAGATTGCGATGACTATAATCGAAGTCGTAAAAGTAAAGTTTACTTAAGAGTTGTCTCGCGATTCGTAAATTTAGATGATCATATGAAGGGCACCGCTAGGATCCTTTTAGATTACAGACCCACAATTTCATGAGATTCAGTGTTGTCAGAAGGGTTTTTGTAGTCAGATGTCACCATAAATCAGCTATAGTCTGCAGAGATGTGTGCACAGTGGAGGTAGTGTTCTTTATACATTTACTATACTGCCTTGTGTCATGGCTTTGACACATTTATCTGTTGTGAGAGTCTCTTCTTGGAACACTGGAGGTCCCTTAACCTTCCCGTGGTAACTACTGGATTCGATTACCAAGCACTGATTACATGTGTATAGAGAATCCCCTAAGCTCTAATGACCTCAGTGTGCAGATATGAAAAACGCCATCTCAGAAGGCTCCTAAAGTCAGACATTACCATTTAAGGGCAAATTCGGGGGTAGTTTATTCATTTCACGCGGAAGACAATGCATTATCCAGACGTCTCTATCCCTATAGTGCTGCTTAATCATCACTCAAATGGAATAAATAATCACATTAGAGCTAACTTTTCATGAAGACTGCCTTACTCCATATTTGGTCTTGATTGCATCAAACTCTTCGGAAGTCTTTGAAATACATTCTAAAAATAACAGTCACGAAAAAGGTAAACAATTGTATGGCATCTATATAGGGCCCGTTTTGCAAGTGCTAAATTTGATGAAAAACATGCTACAGGATATAACAATTCAAAATCTTTGAAATCAGGATTTCAACAGTTTGAAATGCCAAATATGTAGCATCCAATGACACATTGTTGGCAAAATTGCAACAATATATCAGTATAATTCACACTGTAGCAGTTTGAGACGTCAAAACAAAATTCAGACTTGCAAGCATGACTTGACCGTTTTTTTGAAGATGTTGATTGAACGTTCACGTTAAGACCAGATTTCTGTTTCTGTTTCAACGTACAGGACAAAGAAGACCATGTGACACAGGCAACAATTAATTTGTATCTATTAGCAACAACATAAATATAACATGCACAGTGTTCTTTAAATACAATTAATGAAACTGAAAATACTCGATTGTTAAACAAAATCTCCCTTTCCTTCTTTAAATATTATTGTCAAAGCCACCAAGGAGCTGGAATCAGATGGTCTGCCATATTTACAAGGTGGACATCTGTAAATAAAGAGTAAAAAATATTCACTTTTGAACCGTCTTTTCACAGGTGATCTCTTTTCAACGGACAGATGCTAACTTGGATATTACATAGTATAATACTTTATATTGTTTGTACATTGCTGTTTGCCAAACAACAATGTTTTGACCGTCTTCTTATTTGTACATCACTTTTTTTTACTTACTTCCTCCCCATTTAACTGAACTGCGTACTGTCCCACTCGCTTTCTGTCGTGTATTTTAAATGTAAAATGGCCTAAAAGTTTTTATAATGTTAGGTTACAGCGACAGCAGATGAAGACAGTCTCCAACATTAACTCACACACGTTTATGTTTACTGTTGGCCCATGTGGCTGTAGCTAAAAGCTAACACTACCAGCTAACAACAACTACATTATTGGAATAAAGTAGTTCAAGTACTTACAAAGTATGTAGTTAGTGTGAAGACTCACGTTTATTCCGTCAGCTCGTTCACTTCCCTTTGCAAGTCCCATGCCAAGTTTCCAGACCTGTGCATCTTTCAACGTTGTAGAAGCACTCTGAGCCAACGTTCCTGCGCATGCGTGTTCCCGCAGTACACACACACTAGTATGCTCATGTAAAAACATGAACATACAGACAGAATGTACACTGCTCTCATTACGATGTCCTGGGAGCATCTTGTTGGCAGGATACAGTCTATAGTTCCATATTCATGATGTTTTGTATGAAACATTAAATGCGTTTTAAATCACGTCTTCGTGTAATATGACGTTTACAGTAACCAATAATGTGTCTCTTCAACCTACAACTGAACACACCATCAACATTTATGAACAAATTGGTGAATTGACGCGTTGATTTTGTAACCGCAATTTAGCCGGTTGAAAACATGGCGAAAATAGGTCTTAGACGTTCAGACCAAATTTTAACCAGTTTTCAACTATCAATGTTGAAATCCCAGTTGGTGCTCACTGGGTGACTTGATCTTCAATTACAAAAATGAAAATGTAACAAATTGTGTGTTTATTGGTTTGTGTCTGCTAGAGCCATACAGCCCCAAGCTGTAACAAACACTCATATTTGGAAGACAGGAACATTCTATGAGTGTCATTTCACTCCTGTGTGAAGTTTTTAGCTGTATCTGAAATGAACTAATTTGTCTGGGATTGTTCCTAAATCCTCTTTTACTGTGGTGTGTACACCTACAGTAGGTGTATTGATGTACTGTTTTAGTTTTTTACATTTATGAGCCTATAAGCCTATATAAGCCTACATTTTTGTCGAAATTTGTCATCTTTTTGTCTTCACTGATTACTGATACTAATGGTATATGAAAGAATACACTTATGAACATCAAAGAAGGACGTGTGGGTATTGGATTAAGTGCAGTGGACCGATCACCGTCCACGGTTGACGACCCAGTCAGCCCTACCGGACCGAACGCCACTAAAAGCTTTGTCGACTGCCCCAGGGAGGAGAGCCGAAATGGAAGCTAAGCTAACCCAGCTAGAACCTAGGACTACTCCACTACCCAGCCTGCTCCTGGCTGTCTGATGTCCGGTCGCAGAAAAATTTGATGAATGAAATAAGACTTCAGGCAAACTCAGCAACAGGAGGTTAATGACTGTTGTGTCCACATGTTGACAGGCCCATACGAGCTGCACTTGATCGGGGGACCACCGGACGGAGTAGGGGAGAGGAGGTGGACTCTGTCAATGACATTTGGTGCTCAAACATAGCCAAAGTTGATCTACAATGTCCCCTGGATGTTGATGCTGGCCATATTATCTGCCCAGATCCATTTTTATATTGCTGTTTCTCCTAATGCTAATTCAAAAAATGCACTACAAGAATCCATGGGGGCCGGGATCACACCATCAGCCCGTCTCGCCCTCACCGTCGGGGAGGTAAAGCGTGTGCGATAGGACCGGAAAGATGGTGAACTATGCCTGGGCAGGGAGAAGCCAGAGGAAACTCTGGGGAGGCCTGTAGTAGTCCTGACGTGCAAATCGTCGTCCAACCTGGGTATAGGGGTGAAAGACGAATCGAATCAGTAGCTGGTTCCCTCCGAAGTTTCAATCAGGATAGCTGTTTTTTTTTTTCACTGCATTCACATGAATATGGTGTATAGAAAGTCAACATGGTTGAGGAAGGTCCTGAGCCTTCTATGTTATACTGTCAATCATGATTACACTCCCCTCTCAGTTGATGCCACACCCCCATGCCAGATCAAGGCCATAAGTCTGAAACGGAAAAAATACACCAGTGGAAAAAAAAGATCTGAAACTGAAAAAAAATATTTGAAAATGAAAAAATATGATTTGAAACTGTAAGACAATAGGATCTGGATCTGAAAAATATAGGACCTCAAATATCAAAATATATATGAAAGTGAAAAATTAAAATAAATATTTTATTCAAAACAATTTTATTTAACCCCCAAAAAACTTTTCCTTCACGTATTTGAATACATTGTTGTATTTTTCAAAGTTAAAGACAAAACTATTGGCCTGGATTTGGCTCGATGGCAGCTCTGCTTGTGTTTGTCCCAGAACCAACTTGCTGAAGGGGCATCTTGCTGAAGGGGCATCTTTCTAAAGTCTCTCTCTCTCTCTCTCTCTCTCTCTCATATCTCCCATATTTGTCTGGCTTCTCAAAAACATTTTCACTCTGGCCATAAATCTGTTTGCTCTCGCGCTATTGGAAATGATTTGCTTTGGTTTTCTGGTCCTTTGAAATCCTGTACAACACACCATCGTTCACAGTGGGCCTATCCCAGTGTTTCAGGCACCTTGTGACAAGGACAGACACATTGAATCTTTACCACCTAGAAGTCCTCCGACGTCTCTCAACATAGGACAGAACACGAGAGAGAGTTCTATCCTCCAACTGCTTATCACGGAGGTCCTTCTTGGTGTAGGCAGGTAAGACATCCTATCCAGTCGGGACTAACTGAGGTGTGTATTGAATCCCACTCAATGTGTGACAGCAGACATGTCCTCCATTGCAAAAGACTGAGTGTGTACAGTGGACTGCATGCAGACTGGGCACTGTTACTCAGAGGAGACGTTTCCCTGTGACGACTGGATGACTGAAAGGCATTTTGGACAGAAGAATTTGACATCTTTGACCTCTGTGAGAAGACCTGCATCGGTTTCAGCGAGCAGCCTGTGACCGACACATGCCTTGACAAACAGTACACGGCTCAGGGCATCAGCCACGATGTTCTGCTGACCTGGAACATACTTGATAGCAAAGTCATAACTCGCCAACTTGACTACCCAGCATTGCTCATAACAATCTAGCTTCGACTTTGTCAGGATGTGAGTCAACGAGTTGCTGTCTGTCCAGACTCTGAATTTGTGGTCTGTGACTGAACTTTTAACAGACAGACCGTTTCAAGACCAGAAACTCTAACCGATGAGCTGGGTAGTTCTTTTGGGACTGAGATAACGACTTGCTGGGGAAAGCTCATTGAAAAAGAACCGCACCTATGCCATCCAAGGATGCATCAGTTGACAGCATGAAGGGACGGGTGAAATCAGGATGAGCCAAGACAACACCGTGAACCAGTGAAGCTTTCAGGCTTTCAAAAAACTGTCCCTTCTCCGGTGTCCAGTCAGACACACAACTTCCTGCTAGCTCACCAACACTTCACACGACTCAATATCTACAGCACCGAGCCCAATTGAACCAAGCTGGTCTTTGTCAGAATCTGCAGCAACAGTAGGGGTTACGGCTGATTGGGTGCAACTGGCCAGGGGAACCTCTGTGTTCAGCAACATCC